AAATAAACAATAAAAAAAAGCATACAGTGAAAGAGACTCTTGTACTGACAGAAATATAAACTGGTACCTACGTGAAGAATCTCACAAAAGCAATCCTAACTTCCAAGTCTGTACCTATGTAAAAATATTTCCCGTAAGCACAGGACATGCTTTCTGTAAACTGTTTATAAAGCTGAAAATATTTATTAATCACTAACGGGAGTGATTAAATTAAGGTGCATCTCTAAATAGAAGACAACATAAACAGAGCATTGTTGAGTCCTTAAGAAGCCACGGAGGTTTCCGACTTGTAATCCCAACACACTGGGAAGCTGACGCAGGAGGACTGAGAGCTCAAGTCCGGCCTGGAACATAGCTCAAGAGCCAAGAAAACAAAAACTGAAGATAACCTACCACGGTAAATCCAAAAGTATTCCTATGTAAATAATTCCAGAAAAAGTAAGGTCTTGGACCATGTTAGGCGCATGTGACATGAGCTACATTACATGCTCTGATTTGTTAAAAATATATCTAGCTGTCATTCAAGGGATGTGGTATAGCACATAAAAATATTAATAAAAAAAAGAGTCAAAATTTTCACTTGTACAGGTTTTTAAATACCTCAGTTTGTGAAAACCAGAACAAAACAAGCTATGCAGAGTGCACTTGCACGCGCGCACACACACAAATGGGTTTCGGCTCAGTAGTAGAGTACTTGTAGGTAAGTACTCTACCTTGTGAGGCACCTAAAAATACTGCACAAACAAACAAAAAATAACATATTAACAGAGGACATACAAAAACTACACAATTCCTTCTAAGCTCCTACAACCTCTGGGTCACCGTATGACAGCTTCCCTGCTCTGTTTCAGCACACAGGATGGCAATACAATACTATATAACACGCTACATAATACTCTCATGCTGCAAAGTGGTGGAGAACTGTGGTTCTTACACAACCACGGAGTACCTCTTTACGGCAGTGACGCTGTGCTATGATGTTACGCTGCATTTAGATGCAGTCCAACTACGTCATTCTCAGAGCAGACGCTGACCGTAGGTCAAAGAGCATCTCCACATATGTAGCTCACTTTGTAGTTTTTTAAAGAGCAGGGTGTCACGTGTCCCGTCTAGCCTGGAAGTCTCTGTATGAATAAAGGAGGATGATGCTGAGCTCCTGGTCCTTCTGCCTCTTCCTCCAAGTGTGACTTTACAAGCACACGCCCCACACATGGTTGTGCAGGGCTGGGAGAGGAGCCCAGAGCAGCAGGCATGCTAGGCGACCTTCAACATCTATTTGCCTGATGCTATTGTTCTGATCAGAGAAAGGAGGAGTAATGGATTACTCTAACATTGTTCTTCAATTCACAACATTTGTATTTATTTATTGTATACTTGAGCATCTTTTGGATATATGCCCAGGAGTGGGTATAGCTGGATCTTAAGGTAAAATCTATAGTCCTAAAGAAGCTAACCAACAAGGAGGACCCTACAAAAGAGGCTGAAACCTCACTCAGAAGAGCAAACAAGATAGGCATCAGAAGTAGAAGAGGACTAGGAACAGTACAAGAGCCTTCTACAAGGCACCTCTGAAAGACTATACAGCTACTAGAGTATTGAAGGAGATACTGAGACTCATAGCCAAACTTTGGGCAGAGTGCAGGAAACCTTATGGAAGAAGAGGGAGATAGAAAGACCTGGAGTGGACAGGAACTCCACAAGAAGAGCAACAGATCCAAAAAACAAAACAAAACAAAACAAAACACCTAGGCCCAGGGGGCTCTATAGAGACCAATACTCCAACCAAGGACCATGCATGGAGAGGACCTAGACCCCCTGCTCAGATAAAGTCCATAGGCAAGCTCAGTTTCCAAGTGGGTTCCCTAGTAAGGGGTGCAGGGGCTGTCTCTGACATGAACTCAGTGACCAGCTCTTTGATCACCTCCTCCTGGGGGTGGGGGGTGCAGGCTTGCCAGGCCACAAAGGAAGATGATGCATCCAGCCTTGATGAGACCTGATAAGCTAGGGTCAGACAGAAGGAGAGGAGGTCCTCCCCTATCAGTGGACTAGGGAAGGGGCATAGGGAGAGGAAAGGGAGGATGGGTGGGATTCGGAGGAGATGAGGGAGGGGCTATAGCTGGAATACAAAGTGGAAAGAGAGAGAGAGAGAGAGAGAGAGAGAGAGAGAGAAAGAAAGAAAGAAAGAAAGAAAGAAAGAAAGAAAGAAAGAAAGAAAGAAAGAAAGAAAGAAGGAAGAAACAAACAGACAGACAGACAAACAAACAGCCAGCCAAAATACCTTGTTTTTAATTTGGACATCATATTACCATAAGATCACATAACCTTGGGAAAAGCAAGCAGTCTCTGTGGTTTGCTGGAACTTAAGCATGTTAAGACTGCTGAGTGCCCTATAATTTTATATAGCTAGGAAATTTTGTATAGGAACTCTTAGTAACAGGCATTCCTAAACTAAATACTGAGCTTACTTTAACAGTGTTTTTTGTTTTCTTTGGTATAATGGCTATATTTGATCATGGTTCTATTTAAAGGACCCCTTTTAGGAGAATGGAAAGATGTCTTAGCAGTTAAAAATACTGGCTGCTCTTCCAGTGAACCTGGGTTTGATTTCCAGCACCCACAGGGCAGAACATGTAAGTTTTATACTTGTTACATAAAAAACTCTTACCAATCCCATAGACAGTTACTGTTTCTATAAGGTCTAATAAGACATTGTACAAAGGAGCGAGGGTATACATTAATAATCATTTGGCAAAACAATTGCAGCGTAAGAGAGCAGAGTGACTGGCTCATCATGCACTCAACTAGGGGACGAAACTCTGGTCAAAAGCTGACAGCTTGGTCAAGAAAAGTTTCGAAATACGCCCTGCATGACCAAGGATCACTAACATTTCCCATGAAAGGAGAAATTGTGACTGTTCAGTCTAGTTCAACATACAATTTAATAGTGCCCCGACATACATCAGTGCACTGGACAGGAAACTGATGAGTTTTCATATTTACTGGTGGATGTATACACACATTTGTGTGTTACTGATTTCTGCCCAAAGTACTTATATAATTCTGTAATGCATACTTAAGTACAGGTACTCACAGGGTAACTGCTCAGTGGAATGTGCTTGCCTTGTATGCCAAGGCCCCATAACCACCCGCATACACATCCTAAGAAGAGAGAGAATGCACACATACACAAGCTAATCAAAAGATACAGTTCCTTACCAAGACACACGAACATATCTCATAAGACCTAGATATCGGCAACATTTCCACATCCACATGATCTTAACATTACTCTTCACCAATCAATACTGTGAGTGTAACAACACTCTTTCTAATTACAAGGGATAGCCTAGTCCACAGCAAGACAGGTTCACTCTTCACAATTCTAAATAAAGAACTATCTCCGCTGGACAAAAGAGGAAACAGAGAAACTTAATGATTTGACCAGGGGTGGAGGAGCTGAAGAGTAGCAGTCTGGGACTGTACCTCAAGCAGTCTAGCTCCAAAATCAGGCTCTCACACCATTCCTTAATTGCCATCTCCAAAGAAACCCTTAGCCGATCCCTTAACACTTAATCACCCAACTAGGAACACGAATGGGTATTTCTACGAATTGAATTTTAGATATGGCGTAGTTAGTAAAATTTTGCCTGACAATTTAATTTAAAAACTTTACATTGATTTTTTTTTCTTTGCAAAAGAAAAAAAAAGCTAAAAATGTGAGTGTTGGAAAGATATGAGCACTGGCTGCTCTTCCAGAGGACCTGGGTTTAACTTCCAGCACCCACATAGTGGCTCTCAACCTTCTGTAACTCTAGTTCCAGGAGATCCAACATCATCTTCTTACCTCTCTGTTAGTGCACAGACAGACATGAAGGCAAAACAGCCATACACATAAAATAATTTTGTAAAGCTGTGGACATGATCCCGATATAAATGCCCATAATCCTGAGATCAGCCTAGGCCACAGAACAGAACAACATTACAAATTACGTAGTGCAACTATCCCACCAAAGGAGGAAACTGATTCATGGGAAATGAAATAATTTGTTTAAAGGCAAAACACTAGAGCTTTTAGAACCAGACAACAGTGTGATTCTAGGACTCGTATTCTTAGTAATTCTACCGTGTCAATTTCCCCAAATGATTTATACTTATACTAAGGATAACCACCCATAACCTAAGCGCTTATCACTTTTTCTTTTAACATCAATTGAGGACACTGGCACATTTACTCTTAAATATACTACTAATCTTTAGTTTTGTTAAATTTATAGTAACAAAATTGTTATTAAGCTCAAAAACTTCAGAAAAATATATGATGAGCAAATCTTCTTTGCCATTGGAAGCTTTAATAATTAATTCTAGTTTATATTCAGATGACCACGTGAAAACAATGGAAAGGGGGAGAAATTCATTTTCTGACACTATGTTGGGAATTTGTGGTAACATACAAGATAGGTTATGACATATGTGAAGTAAAGACATTAAGCAATAGCTATAGTGACAAATAAATATGTAGTTACAGGTTAGCTTATACAGACTACAGAAACATGAGCTACAGCAATGAGAACCGTAGCACCACCTCAAGGACTGAAAAAAAGCTTCACATAAGGCTTCTGGGGAGTGATGGCTGCTGTTTCCAGGATAAACTAGAACTAGGGTAGAGATGCTAAATTTTTCCTCAACTTTAATGACAACTTTACCATCAGAAGTTAAGGCTTATCTGTAAATCTCTTTACAGAAAAAAAAAATAAAATAAAATGAACTTTTAAAACCAGGTAGATGCTTTAATACTGAAAGTGTAAGTCTCAATACAGCAAATCTAACTAAATAACAATTTTTAAAATTACCTCCTGTTAGTTGCTAATTTCCTTGATTTCATTTACCATTGATCCAACTCAGTCTGGGGGAGGGTTACATTCGTGCAAGTTAACACAGCTTAATCGTTAACTGTATTCATCTGCCAACCTTGTGTGCCTGCAGCAAACAGTTGTGTCTATATAAAGTCAAGAGGTCCTAGTCTCCTTACAGGAGAAAGTAGTTCCAAATTGCTTGAAATTGAATGATTAGGATTAAAAATGCACTCAATTAAAATATTTCTTTTTCTTTTTCCTTTAGTAATTTCTTCCAGAATTGATCCAGATAATTCACCATTTGATCCTGTACCTTCAGAGCCCAAATCAAGATTTGCTATGTTGGACGATGTCAAAATTTTAGCCAATGGTCTCCTTCAGCTGGGACATGGTCTTAAAGATTTTGTTCATAAAACTAAGGGCCAAATTAACGACATATTTCAGAAACTCAACATATTTGATCAATCTTTTTATGACCTATCACTTCAAACCAATGAAATCAAAGAAGAGGAAAAGGCACTAAGAAGAACTACATCTAAGCTACAGGTAAAAAATGAGGAGGTGAAGAATATGTCACTTGAACTGAACTCAAAACTTGAAAGCCTCCTTGAGGAGAAAATCGCACTTCAACAAAAAGTCATCGCTTTGGAGGAGCAGCTAACCAGTTTAATACAAAACCAACCTGGGGCGCAGGAGCACCCAGAGGTGATATCACTTAAAGTAAGTAGAAATCGCAGCACTCTGCTGGCTTTCAATGTGCATTTTTAAAAATATATTTTTAAGATATACTAATTTAAGTACTCTGCTACACTACTAAAACACTTGATTTTGCCAAGAAATATTATTGTAGGAAATAAAATTTTCTTCCGTAACTTGAACTCAGGTTTTGCTTCTCTAATATTATGTTTGAAAAGAGCTAAATTTTTTATTTCATATGATAATTAAATAAAATTTATAACATTCAACTATTATGCTACTGCTAATAGAAGAGAAAATTAAAAGAAATTTAAACTGAAAACTGAAGAACAGTTTTATGTTTAATATTAATTTCTATTAATAAAAAATGGATTATATTAAAATTAGTTTTATACTAATCCAAAAATGGATTGATATAGTAAATGATATAATCTAATTCCTCTGAAATATTGTTTCTTTTAAGTAAGATTCAGAAAATTTTAGATGTAGCAATTTTTAATACAGTAACAAACATGTTATTACTTGAGAAAAACACAGGACAATGATAGTGAGTGTTCATTTTTCTAACCTACCACTGGTTTAAAAAGTAGATGACTATTACAAATAAATAAAAGCTTAAATAAAAGACAGAAGAAATTTTTAACAAACTACAATCTGTGCACAGAGTTTTGTAGAACAGCAAGATAACAGAATCAGAGACCTCCTCCACACTGTGGAAGAACAATACAAACAACTAAGCCAACAGCACAGCCAGATAAAAGAAATAGAAAACCAGGTAAGCAGTCTGCTGCACCAGCTGATGTCAACACGGGCTGTCAACCATGCTCCGCAGCTGATCATCTGCTTGCAACTTTCTGTGCAACTGAGCAACTAACCTCTGTCTTACAGTTCCTACCACATGTTCTCGCAAGAACGCAGCAGAGCCTGCCTTGTAGAACTACTGAGGGAGGAGGATCCGTAACTGAGTCCATTAAAGGGATCCTATTACATTTTAAATCAATCTGTCCTACTTAAAACCCCGACCTGGCTTCCCATCTTGCTCAGAATCCCTCTTAGAACCTGCAGCAACCTGATCCCTCATTATCTTACAGGCCTCATCTCACCAGCTTCCTTGCTGTGCCTCAGCCTCTGTCTGGGTGATCTCTTGTCTAGAATGCTTTTTTCTAGTATCTGCACTTCCCATACTTTTATCAAACACAAAACGCTTGGTGAAACTATCCCAAGTCATTTAATCAAAAATAAAAGTCTCCCCCAAATCCATTACATTGTGTTTTCTCTTTAACATCTTTACATTTAGCATAAACAGAAGCTATTTCTTGCCTATCTCTGAATTCAAGTGGAATATTGGTGACCCTGGGATTCTTTTTTTATTACTTTAATTACTAAAACCCTTCATACAGAACACAGTATGACATATAATAGGCACATAATAAGCAAAACATATAGCTTTACTAGTGCTTTTCCTTTTAATCAACATTTCTCTTGTTTTGTTTGCTTCATTCTCTTAATTTTGTCCTTCATTAAATAATACATTTGGTTAAATATCTCAAGAACAGCATGTCTGTACATTCTGGAAAGCATGTTTATTCCTTTCGCTGGCATACAGAACTGTGGTCAGGCCTCTGCACATGCTCAGCAAGCACTCTGCCACTGAGCCGTACCTCCAGCTCTGCTCATTGTTCTTAGCATCAAACAGTAATATTGTAAACGGAAAGACATGTCCATAATTGTAATTTTGATATCTTACCCAGAATTCCCTAATTTTAAGAGTAGACTTATGATTTATATTCTTTTATCAGCTCAGAAAGACTGGTATTCAAGAACCCACAGGAAATTTTCTTTCTTCTAAATCAAGAGCACCAAGAACTACTCCCCCTCTGCAGCCGAATGAAACAAAAAATATAGGAAAAGATGGTAAGATAATTTGGGAGGTATTCTTCATAAAATTCCTATTTTTAGGGCCTAGACTAAAAAAGTAAAAAGAAAGATATATCAAATGCCATCACCAAATGTCAATTTAATTGGATCCTGTTTCTTTTTTTAACATTTTAACACTATAAATGACATTCTTAGGATATAAAGATGATATAAAAATGGAATGATTATTGAGTTCATAGATATAAAATGATACTACACGTGTAGAAAAGGAATACAATCACATTTATAGGACACATGGAGAACTATGCAAGGGGCCAAAGGTCCTATTTAAAAATTACTTTCAAAAGCAACAAACAAAATACATTCATGTGTATAAAAAAAAAATGCACTTTTAGAAACTGAAAGATTTCGGAGTTCTCTTCAAAAATTCTATTTTCCTATTTGTTTAAAACCTTTCACAGGTAAAAACAAAAGTTCCAGGGAACAGAGCCACCATTTCCAGCTAGACTTCAGTAAAACAATACATTTCCAACAGTTACTTTGTTTCTGCAATTCACACAGGAAAGACACCTATTAGCTCTCTTCCTGTACATTCAGTTTCTACACATCTGTTGGTTCTAGTTATGAACCAAATCCTGTACTAAGCTTCTGCTCCTTAATAATCTCACCATGTCTAGCAAAAATAATGCTTTTTAAAGCTATTTTCTTTTAAAATAAATAAGTTGGAAATGTTATTTGGATAGTCTGCCATCCAATAAACGTGCCTTAACATAAACGATAATGTACACTCACATCAATTCCATGACGTAGTAGTGAAATTGCAAGCTCCAAAGATACTTCTAGTCCTAAATATTGCAAAATAATGTTTGTTAACTCTAGACCTTCCCGCTGACTGCTCCGCTATCTATAACAGAGGCGAACATACAAGTGGCATATATGCTATTAGACCAAGCAACTCTCCAGCGTTTAATGTCTACTGTGAAACCCAATCAGGTAAACCCTGCAGAAGCCGGGAATGGATTGCAGTGAATTCAAGGTACTCATTACCTATTACCAAAACTAAGCCTGTTATCAACCTATAAGACATGATCATTCATGCAAATAAAGTATATTACCTTAACTATATAGTACCAAATCAACAAATCATCTCAGACAGCCAAAGTTAATACCAAACTCAAAACATGGTTATTTTTCCCGTCAACATTAATCTGCTAAAAGTAACTACGTTCATTCACTCTCCAGGGCGTCCATGGACATTAATTCAACACCGGAAAGATGGGTCACAAAACTTCAACGAAACGTGGGAGAACTACAAAAATGGTTTTGGGAGGCTTGATGGTAAAGTGATTTCCTCGCATTGTTCATTTATCTGCTAAGAATATTAACTGGATGTGCTGCTAGAGGACTAAGATCTTAACACTTTGGGAAGAGGGTGAGAAGTGAAGCAGGAGGACTGAAAGCTTAAGGCCAGTCTAAGTCACATACTGAGACCCACTTCTCAAAAGAATTATAAATTAAGAAACAACTATAAAATGGGCAGTGGAAATTTAACAATAACAGAAAAAATCCAGCCTTCCTAAAGCTGATCGATACATATTCTACATGTTAGCAATTACAGTTATTGTAATTATACTCACTACTATTGCATGTCTGCTCTTAAGAATGCTAGCTGAATTCAATAGTTCATGATTATTATAGATTATCATAGTTATTAAGGAAAATAGTGTCACGGGTTTTAGTGACACTTTAGTAATAATATGAATGAGCTGCAAAGATAGCATGATGGTACTATTTCATTGAAGTAACACAGGTTAAAATGTAGCTAGAAGTATGCATTGTGGCAGAGCACTTAACTAGCGCAATACTGGGCCTTATCCCCAGCAGCACAAAGGAAGTAATAAAAATGAAAAATGAAACAGAGTTAGAAGGGATAGGTGAACTATCAGAGATTCAGTGCCTAATTACTTAAGTACTAATTTGAATCATTCAATATTATAAATATACACTACAGAACTGTGGTTCTCTGTGATATATAGAATAGAATATCCTATTTTGATCACCATCAAAACTATAGAAATAAGTAAAACAATAAAAATAGATACTTCAAATCAAAAAAGCACATTATGGACATTTATGAATGTGCACTATTCGCTTATAAAGTAGCATTCAACTGCTATTATACCAAAAAAAATTTTTAAAGATGTATTATTTGTACATCATTCTGCCTGCACGTGAGCCTGCATGCTAGAAGAGGGTGAGGGATCTCATTATAGATGGTTGTGATCCACCATGTGATTGCTAGGAATTGAACTCAGGACCTTTGGAAGAACAGACAGTGATCTTAACCTTTGCACTGTCTCTCCAGGCCCCTATACAAAAATTTTTAAAACTCAGTACTATTTGATTATTTTTAAAGTTCTCTATTCCCTCCACTAGTTAAATATCTAAGAGAAGGTCTACCCAGTGATATTATGCAGTTCTAATTATTCTATTTCTAAACAGGAAATAGCTCCATTTATAATCTTTAAGTGAAGTTTTCTAACTCAATAGTAATATTTATCTTTTTCATTAAACACTTCAATACAGATTTATAACGATCTAGTTGTAGTACTTATATTATTTATTTCGGATTTTTAATCCTAAATAAAAAGTTTTAATAATAGAGAAAAATACTAATAACATTCAAATCTATTTTTTAATTTATGAGGTTCTTTTTCTATAGAAAAACCTAATTCATATTTGAAAAACCTAACATCACCATTATGTAAAACTGGATCTATAAAAGCATTCTCTTGACTAAATGTGGGTATATTACTGAACAACTGAGGTAAAGTGGTATGTGTATGCATAAGGAGGTACGAGTCAGTTCCTACTCCATCAATGGCCAAACCTAAAAATATTTGTAATATGGAATATGTCATATAGAAAATATATTGTAAAACATATTTTTGAAGTAAAGTTGAATTTAATCAAGACAAAATTTTAATATAGACCTAAACACAGGCTTAATTAACGTTAAGGGAGAAAAAGTCACACTTCAATTATGAACTGAGAATATAGTTCAATGGGAAAGTCTTTCTCAGCATGCATGCAGTCGGATTCAGTCTCCAGAACTCAAAGAAAGTAGAAAATAAATAGATAGATAGATAGATAGATAGATAGATAGATAGATAGATAGATAGACAGACACATGATAGATAGATAGATAGATAGATAGATAGATAGATAGACAGATACATGATAGATAGATAGATAGATAGATAGATAGATAGATAGATAGATAGATAGATAGGATAGATAGATGGAAAGATCAGAAACAGAGGGAGGGTGGAATGTAGAGAAGTGCATACACCCAGACACAGACATGTTTGGCAAAAGTGTGTGTTAATATAGGTTTTAGAAAGTGTTTGGGGTTTTTGAGATAGGGTCTCACATAGTCCAAGATGGCCTTAAATAGCTTTGGGTAGTTGAGGATTTTGAACAATTCTTCCTGTCTCAAGCTCCCAAGTATAAACATTACAAAGCACATACCATAACATCAATAACATAAATGCTTTACAAGATTTCAGTATAACCACAGCGTCAGTGCTAAAATGACTCATTTATGTCAACAAACTAGAAATAACTTTAACAACTGGCCAGGGCCCTGTAGTGACAGCGCTGGAGTGGTTAAGGCAGGAAGAGCTGAACTTAACTTCCAGGCCAGTCAGGACCTGATCTGTAGGTAACAATACACGGCTTCTTCTAACCTTTCTCTTTAGGAGAATTCTGGTTGGGCCTAGAGAAGATCTATGCCATAGTAAGACAGTCTAACTACATCTTACGACTGGAGCTACAAGACTGGAGAGACAGCATGCACTATGTTGAATATTCCTTTTACCTGGGCAATGGCAAAACCAACTACACACTACATGTGGCTGAGATTGCTGGCAATGCCCCTGAGGCACTCCCAGAACACAGAGACCTGATGTTTTCTACATGGGATCACAGAACAAAGGAACAGCTCTACTGCCCAGAAAATTATTCAGGTATTCAGTTAACACCAATGCTTTTTTTTCTTCAAAGTATCCCTTACAATTTTAGCTATTATCTATACTATCATTTCTTTAAAATATTAATCTCAAGCAAGCCTTCTCTCCAAAGACAGACCTGTTGATTGTAGTAGAAGTGCCAATGCTTGTTCAGCTATTTTCCTGCAATGTTCCTATGTGATGGTGTATGTGAATTACACAGATTAATGAATATTGGAATATGTACACCCATAATATAATAGTATTTATATGAAATAAACATACATATATGCAAAAAAACTAACAGCTTGACAGCAGCCATTTATCCAATTAAATGATACACCTGTCTTCTTTAGGAGGCTGGTGGTGGCATGGCGTATGTGGAGAAAACAACCTCAATGGTAAATACAACAAACCCAGAGGCAAACCCAAGCCAAAGAGGAAGAGAGGGATCTACTGGAAGACTAAGAATGGAAAGCTCTACTCCATCAAATCATCCAAAATGATGGTTCAGCCCACCAATTGAGAAGGCTTTGCACAAACTGAGACAAATTAAAAGGTCACTAAATTAAATATTGAAATCCTCCCAAGATTTAATATCTGGCATTAAATTTTTAATGGAAAGCTTGAGAAATGAATTTTCAATCAGCTTTAAAGTCACAGTTAAAATCAGATATCATCCCATCAACTTACACAATTTACCTTTTCAATGCTACAGCACCATTTGTTCATGTTTGTGGTGTGGGAATCAATTTAAGATGGCCCAAATCATGTGGGAGTGGTGGCTCATGCCTTTCAGCCCAGCTTTTAGGAAGCAGAGGCAGGCAGATCTGAGTGTGAGGCCAGCGCTGTTTATAGAGTGTGCTCCAGGACAGCCAGGGCTATAAAAAAAAACCTTGCCTCAAAAAACACATCAAAACAAAACAACAAAAACAAACTACCACCAACAAAACACCAACAAACAAAACATAAAACCATGATTCCAATCTAAATGGGAACAGGTAAATTCTAAATTGTTCTTAAATTCAAAACCTTAAAACTTCAAATTTTTAAAAAAGAACAGTTTGTTAAACTTCAAAAAGTGGTATATTTTACAGTTCTCAGATTCTGAATTACTAGTTTCAAATTTAAATTCAGCCAACTTAAAATACATACCTGTAATAGGAACTTTTAAAATTAAGCGTCATTTGCTATAACATTATCCGGAGTAAAGGATTCTTTTTTTTTTTAACTTTTATTAATTAGACTTTATTCATTTTGTATCCCCCCCATAAGCCCTAAGCCCCTCCCACCTCCCCTCCCTTTAAGGTCGTCATGTACTGAACGCTGAGCGTGACGGAGCGTTTGCACTAGGCTCCATGTCTGCCAGTACAGTAGCTCTGGTCACTTAGCATATCTGCACTGTGAACACTTAATACTATGATAATTTTAAGTGACATTTGTCATAGTGCAATAAGAATTAATGCCGTTGTAATATTAAATTGAAATTTAACAAGAATTTATTATCCCTGGGCAGGATGGGAATCTAACATCTTATATATAAGTAGAAATAAAAATCAGAATGCATTATCAAATGTTTTAAAACCTAACAGGCATGTATGTTTAAAATTCATAGACACTGGCAGTAAAATAAGCTTGACTGTTTCTAAAAAGTAATTCAAACTTTAACTCCCCATGGACTGTCAGATACAATATCATGACATCACCTGTCAGCATTTGTCCCAAGTCAGTTTTTCACTCCATGGCTAGAAGAGCACCTGTTGCTCTTCCAGAAGACCTGAGTTTGGTTCTCAGTACCTACACTGGGGGCCCACAACCACCTGTAACTCCAGGTTCAGAGGATCCAAGCCTTCTCACCAACAGGAGCACATAAAGATCACACACATATACACACACACAAACACACAATTGGTGTTTTACCTACATGTATGTGTGAGAGTGTCCAACCTTTTGGAATTGGAGTTACAGGCAGATGTGAGGTGCTACATGGGTGCTGGGAATTGAACCTGGGTCCTTTGGAAGAACAGCAAGTGCTCTTATCCACTGAGCCATCTCTCCAGTCCCCAAAAATATATGTTAAAAAAAAAACTGCCAACAATGAGAATTTTGAGTGAAACCCAGTTTTTAAAGATAGGTAGTACCCAGTACACTACGGCTTGACTCGGTCAATACACAGCATGATAGCTTAAGGTAGCCTATATCATACGTATTTTTAAAATCGCATGAGATTCATACGGTCTATATGGATCCTACATTTTTTTTCTACAGAAAAACACATAAGAATAAAAGCAAGAAAAAGCTATAGTTTTCAGAGATACAGTCCAATTTGCAAAAAAAAAAAAAAATTTTTTTTGAGTGTTACTGCCGAATGCTAAAATAGATCCATGACCAAAAAACAACAAGAAACTTTCAAATACACAATGACTCTTCATGTAACACAGCAGGCGTTTGTTTCTTCTATACTCTCCTTTTCTTATATCCTAACATGGAGTGCTTCGTTTGTTCCTTTTAGAAGTACCATATTGGTCTTTCTCCCCCCCCCCCCCCAGAATGCTCAGATTGAGAAATTACTCTGGTAGAGAGTAATTTCATTTCTTTTCCTGGAGAAGATTTTAGCACTGACCCCCAGCTGACTAATCTGGGGGACTTTTCCTACTCACTTTCCCTAAGCGTTCTCTAATACTTGCTAATCACATTCCAAGACCGATACACTGAGCCTGGCTTATCCCTCGCTTCGATCTATCTCTATAACTTGTCCTTCCTCATATCCTCTTATTGACAAGGATCAACACAACCCTTCTTTTGGAGGAGGGAAGCCTGTGTGTAAGAAAATATGTGTGTATTCATGAAGGAGTGCATGTATGTGTAAGTGTGTTTACATTCGGAGGGCAGAGGTCTGTGTCAGCTGCCTTCCTCAATCTCTCGCCACCCTATTTTTTTAAGACGGGGGTCTCTCATTACACCTGGAGCTTATTAATTCAGGAGGTTAGACAGCCAAACAGCTGCAGAAGCCTCCTGTCTGGCATCAGACACTGAGGTGGCAGGAGGAGGCCTGCCATCCCTGAGTGTCAGGTAGGAGATGAAGGGATCTGAACTCGATCCTCGTGATTATGTGATGGGTGCTTTGCTTTACTGACGGAGCCATCTCCCCAGTCCCAATACGATCTTTGTAAATGTGACCCTCAAACATTCCATCTACCCTCATGGACTCTGTTTTCCATGGATAGTTTTCCCAACTCTATCTACTCAACCCATAATCTTTGTTCCTCTGTCCTCACACTGCTTACTGGCCACCTCCCTCTCTGCTATCCTAGGCACATCAAGTAGCAGCATAGCCCCTTCAGGTCTTTCCAGTTTCTCTCCCTCCCTCTCTGTGCCACACACCCTCCTAACTTCTCTAACCATCAGCACCACTACCAGGCTCTCAGCCACAGAAGTCTGGAACCTGAAGAATGTCTGGCTTTTTTCACTTGAACTTGTACACACGCTTTCTTGTATCCTATAATCTTTCTTTTGAAATGTTCTTCGGATAAGCCTTCTTCTCAGGGACTGTTTTTAGCCTGATCTACTCCTAGCCTACTAATTTTACTTCCCACTCAATCATGCTATAAGAAGTTTATGATAACGATACAGTACCTGTTTTGTTTAAGGTTGTCTACTATAAAAATACAACAGCTGAGAATAATTAAAATATATCCTTATAACAGATTTTAGAGTTATTGGGTAATGACCTGCCACTAAAACATAGGATCTTACAACATACTGATCATAAATCTATCTTCATAAACATACTCCATAAATCTATGTTCACATGAAGTTCTTTTCCACAAGAATCAAAGGAATGATACTCCTTTATGAGTTCGGTCTCTTCTGTGGGCTTCACATATGCTCTACAGCTATACCCTCCCAAGAATATTTCCCAATTCCAAGAGCACTTGCCTCAAGAGCAAGATTCAGATCCTTCCAGCAATCCAAGATCCGTAGAACCTGACCCCAATCATCTCTCTAGGTTTTTTGAGTTGGGGACCAGCCATGCAGCCCAGCTGGCGTCAAACATGCTGTCCACCTTTCTCAGCCTCCTAAGGTCAGGGGCTCCATGTGTGACTCTCCAGGGCTGGCTACTCTTGAACCATTTCCCCAACACAACATTGCTCTTCTGAAATCAAAATGCACATACTTTAAATTGCAACCTCCAGTAAGCATTTTCCTAATTAGTCCCATCTGCCTACACTTCCACCCCTCCCTTCTGACTGGAGAGGACATATTTACATCCTGAGGCACGGCAATCTCACTTCTTCCACAGGCGTAGTAAATAGCAGCTCCCTCCTTCCGCCCATGAATGATGCGGCGCTTATGCCTTTATCCCTAAATGGCAGCATTACATAGACAAAAAAGTAAACCTAGCGGATTGTAATAGCAAGTCAAAAATAGAAAACTAAAAGGCTAAGAGCACCAAACATCCATCTACCCGATCTTGGGGAATACTGTAAAATCTGATGCCAAGAGCTTAGTTAGACAATATGAGAGCTAGCACACACATTTCTTATTCCAGAGTCACCTGCTGCTGTACGGTCTGGTAACCTATTTTCTCAGAACACAGTAAGCATCTTTTCATGCTATCCCCTTCTTAGTAACTATGGCAGTCAGTTTACTCAGACAGGAGTAGATATGTATTCATCAGCCAGTATTTATTGAATTCCTACTTTACACAAGGTATTCCAAATTTGTATTATTATATCTCCTACCTTCTGCACAGAATAGCATGACCTCATGGTTTGGTTTGGTTTTGTCCCCATCGCTAACACCCACAAGCAATGCACTTATGTGTGCACTATTCAGTGACTTTCTAACACGGCATTTTGAAAACTGAAAGTCATCAAGCAATTACCCCTTCCAGCAAAGTCCAAAGTATTCTCCGTGGGTGCAAACCACCTAGAGCAAAATTACTCAATTGATGTCAACTGTGCGGTTCAAGGTTATGAGAGTAGGGTTAACAAGTCCCCACAATACGCCTTCATAAGCTGATATTTCAACTGAGTTTAAAAAAAAATACAAAATATAACAAAGAATTCCATCTAAACCACAAGAATGTTTGCTACAGCTCAAATGCTCTCAGGTAGTAGCAAACCTAAAAATGATTAGGTTTACTGAAACAGCAATAAACAATTACCTTAAAGTTACAGAACTGTTGCTGTTCATCTCCGGAGAAGCAACCAAGCTTCAGTCTACAATCCACACACAGGAGTAGGCACCAGCCAAGCCTGTCTGGGTCATCACAGCCAGAGAAAGCATTTAAATGTGCTTATAAACAGAATGTTTAAATACATGCACATATTTTTTTAAACCTGGACCTGAGGTTATCAGTGTTTAAACTCCTTCAATAAAATAATCTATATAAATACTTTCCATGGAAATACTTTAATTTTTAGGGTAAATGAACAAAACTTTTCAGGATGCTCTTGTTTCTGGAACTTTATCTCTGGAAAAACAACTGCCACCTTGACTCTTTAAAAACACTTGGGTGGCAGTATGAAATTGGATTCTCAAGAATGGGGGGGGTGCGTGCGTGTTTTTGGTTTTGGGGGTTTTAGTGTTTT